TTTTTTTTTAAAAGGGGGTGACGAAAAAAGAAGAAAAATTTAGAAAAAATAACAAAAATAAGACAAGAGAAAAGAGAAGGAAGGGAAAGACAGAAAGGAAGATCGGAAGATCAAACTCATCAAAGTAAAGGTTAAAGGTTTATATAAAAAACAAAAAAAACGTATCATAACAAAACAATAAACAATCACGTGATCTTGTGTTATGATACGAGATTTTTGTATCTAAAAATATTAAGTTTAAAAATTCCGTATACATTCCATATGATTGATTTTTCCGTATACATTTCGTATACATTAGTTTTTTTAAAAAATGTTCAAAAATGAATTGCTTATTAAATATACGGAATTTGTATACGGAATCTATAGAAACGTACATAAAATGTATACAAAACGTATCCTTTCCGTATACATATTTCTTATAGGGCGTTATGTAATGATGAATAAGGACGGTCAGGTTTCTATTATGGATTAACGATTCATTGGTTTATAATATCAATGTAGGGTATAACTTACGGCTTTAATATAGAAAGTTGTATTGAGTCGATAACACAGTTCAATCTGGAGAGACTAACTAGATTTTCTTATTCATATAGCAAGTTTTTTTTTTAATTTAGGTTGTCTTTTTCTTTTTTTTTTATATCATTCATTTTAATTTACGATGTATTTAGCATTAGATTTTCTTTTTAGTATATAGATACTTTATTTAATGGATGTTCTAGAAACGTCTACATTGTAATAAATTACAGAGCTTAAATATTACAATATTAATAAAGTTATAAATTTAAAAAAATATTTGGTACATCAAAATTCTTTTTCTATAATATAAAGCAGGTCAATTTAAGCTTAAGGTTGATCTGTTTTCGGAATATGAATTTCTTTTCTGATGTATAAGTTCAAACACATTAGTATAAATCTGCTTATTATTCTGTATAATAAATAAATTCTACTTTACTAAAAATAAGATGGCCACAATAATTTATAACTTGTTTAGCAATTTAATTTACGTGCGCTTATTTAAAAAAAAACATGTGCTTAAATTCAATTAAATTCAGTTTAATCATGAGAAAATCAATGCTCTCAGCAACAATATGTGATTGTTCATGTGATTACATAATTGTGTAAATTGAAAATAACAACTTTTAGTAAAAAATTTAATAAAAAATTTTCATTTTGTAAGGCCACACAAATTCGAATTTTCGGTTCACTTCACCCGGCCGGGTCACTTTTTCAAATTTCAATAGAAAAAAGTTTATATATAAAAAGTTTATCACGTGATCAGGACGTAATTTTATTGGCGGGTAAGTTTATTATGCGGCTGAGAACTTCTAGAGTGAAAATAAATTCCTCCCTTCTAAAAGTCAACCAATCAAATGTCACGATTTTATATATAAACTTTTTTTACTAATAAACAATAAACCCCGGGTCCCCGGGTCGATTTTAAATTTCAATGTTACGTGAACCGAAAAATTGAATTTGTGTGGCCTAACTTTTTAACTATTAGTTTAATACATCAAACCCTCCATAGTTATAGTATATTTATTAAAACTGAGCCTTCGTAATGCACTAGACTTTTTTTATCTTCCGAAGTGTTGAATTTTTCATACGGTTCAATGCACTCTATTGATTTTAAAGAATCAAATTTGTGTGATCGGTAGTTTTAATTAAATTTTACTCTTCATTCTTTTTTTCGAATTAAAAAGTCCATTATCTCCTGTTTCAAATTAGTGTATCAGCAGGTGACTTTTCGATCAATTATATAAAAAAATACCGTAAAGTAATCAAAAACAAATTAAGTACAAAACCAAATAATAATATAAATTTATCTCACACATTAATTAAAAAATAAATTTATTAAGGAAGAACAATAAATTATATAAAAAAATTAAAATTTTTTGTAAGATTATAATGAAAGGTAAAATTATTCCTTTAAAAAAAAAAACTTTCCCTTATATAATTATATTAAACACTAAAATATTTAGAAACAAGAATGTATGAACCATAAGGAAATTAAATTAGAATTAATTATTATAAACAAGAGTTCATGTTTAAAGGGGAGTTAGGACTATAAAATGTAAAATATATGAAATGTGATTTATTTTGAACATGTTCATTTCTAATAAAATCATAAGTTCATAACATTCGAATTTATAATAAATATTTTTTAACCATAATTGAGTTATAAATTAAATTGATAATTGAAAAATTTACAATAATTTATTATCTTTAATACACACCAAAAGAATGAGAAAAAAAAACATTTAAGAAAAAATTATCACAAAATAGATTATGAAGGGAAAAATTTTTTAAAAAAAATCAGTTTGAAAAAAAGATCAGAAAAAAAAAAAAATTATTATTAAAAAAAAAAAAAAAAAAAA